ACCAGTTTTTTGTTTTTTGTTTGTTTTCTGGCCTCATTGATGGTTGGATGACTTCATCCCTGGGTTTCTGTGGCGTCTCTCACCCAGCTCAGTGGCTTCGTCTCTGATCTCCTGAATTGTCTCTGCTATATTTTGGTCCAGCTGATTTATTGTGTTGGCATCAAAGACGGTAACCAGGATGTGAGCTTTGTCGTTGATAGTTGGATTCCGGTTGAAGAACGGATCGGTTTCAGACAACGCACTCTGAGGGTGGAACTGGAAACAGTTAAATAGTTGCATCAATAAGAAATTATATGAATTTTTCCCCCATTTAGTTTTTTCACAGCTGCAGCAGAAACCTTACTTTATACTCATCCTTGATGTGACCCATCATGGCCATTTTCATGTCCTTCTCATGGACTCTTCTGTGTTTCCAGCTGATGTTGCTCAAACCTGTCATGTCATTCAGTACAAAAGGATACGCGGTTTCCTGGTCTCCTCTTTTAATCTTGTAGGTTATGTACTGTTAACCAGAAAAATAAAACAAATATTAGGAATAAACTTTTAATTTTGTCTTTTAATCAATTTACTTATTTTAAATTTAACATTTGTGTGTGAAAATTGTGATGCAGAATTTCAGATAAGTTATTTTATGTCAGATATGAATGACAGAACATGAAGTGAATGTTTTATTTTGGTGCAACAGTAAATCAGTGCAGAACTAATCATCAGAATTACAAGATAGAGAATGAGAATATATTTTTCTCTTAAATGAGTCATACATTTCCTTTTACCTTCTTGGTGAAGCTGTTCTGGATGATGTTGCACGCAGTCGCCTTGTGACAGATTCTACCCTCCAAGGCGCTGAAGACGGAGTTGATGAAACTGGACTTTCCGGCTCCGACGGGTCCATGCAGAAGGATCCTGAGCTGCCGGTGGCTACCTTTGGGTCTGTAGTCGTTTATGAACTGCAGGTCAGTCTCTCGGTCTCTGCTCAGGAAAACAAACATCACATCGCCCCCTAGCTGTAACTGACTGAATTACTGGACATGTTTGCTGAGGGAAGGCAGAGCTAGAACAGAGGCAACAGGTTTTAAGTCTTTATGCAATATATTGTTGAATAGACACTCACTCCCAATCAATCGGCAGCCATGGCTTTTCAAGAACTGTCAAATACAGAAATAAATTAAAATAATGACATCAAATGACATTTATAATAATAGGTATATCAGTTTTAAACAAACTTACATGGAGGAAGTGCTTTGGCTTTAATACGTCCCATACCTGAAACAAAGACACATCTTGAGTTTTATCTCATTTTAAAATTTTAAATCAAATCATTTTTAGAAAATGCAATTATTAGATCCAGTTTACTTTCACTTTTCATGATTCAAGATAAACCTCTCATATTCAGATTGGAGATTTTAGACTTAAAAGGTAGCATGTTAAGATACACACATTTCTAGCTGAAAATTATAATGAACTTAAACATTTAAAGGAACTCCTTTGTTTTTTGTTTTCCTAAAACTTATTGATAAAATCCTCTTAAAGCTGCAGTATGTAACTTTCAAAAAATGTTTTTTATGTTTTTTACATATTTGTTAAAACTGTTACCATGTTGTAAAGGTTTAATATGAGACAGATAATCTGAGAAACGATTATCTGCCTCCTGAGCTACTACTGCTTTCTGCAGAGATGCTCCACTTTGACCAAAACCAACCAATCAGAGCCAAGAGGCGGGGCTTAGTGCTGTCAATCAGCTTTATGTCCATGCAGCTAAATGCTAATGGCAGAGAAACAACTTACTGTTAAAAGAAAACCGTTTTTCCGTCATCATCTGTGGCCATGCTAATTAGCTTTAGGATTTGTTGCAGGATCCTTTGAGGTGAACCAGCAGCTGTGTAAGGTCGTGTTGTGTTCTGGTCATATGAACTATATCTGTCCAATCATAGCTCATGAGGTGTTCCTTTGAAATATTTACATACACACATTTGTTCATAAGTAACAGTGAATATTTATTTTTAGTACAGGAAGTAATCACACATGTAGCACTCAAAGACTGTTCAGAGACAGTTGATAACTGAAACATTACTTTGAATCAAAAATTAAAACCTACCTAACAAAAGAGGACATTAAGTTGGTGGTTCACATCAGTCCAGTTGTTCTGCCCCAGTACATTAAATAAAACACAATAAACTGTTCTGCCCCTGTAGATTAAATAAAACACAATAAATAAACATAAACAAACTGCAGCGCATTAGCTCCCAATGAGCAGTTAGCAACAGTTAACAGTTGTAACATTAAACATAACTAAAATGCACGACATTAATAATAGGTAATAACAGGTGAAAACCCTCACAAAACATGGCAAAATTACTCATGAAACTCTGTATATAATTAAATTTGTCTAATAGATATGCTAAAATATAATATTTGTAAAGAAAACAGAACCGATCCTGATACGTACCACAGTTACAGGCGGCAACAGAAAAAGGGGGAGGAGCTGTCGGTTACCGGTTGCTATGGTAACCGCCAACCGTCAGGAGAAGCAGGAAACAACTTCCGGACTAAACAAAATCAATACAAAGAATAAATGAACAAATAAACATATGCTTTTTAGATATAAGTCAGTTTATTAAAAAAAAAATTATGTTTTTCTTACCTGAATAAAAAATTATTTCATTATAAAACGATTTGTTTTTTAATTGTTTTTAAACTTGTGAGTTAGAAGCTTAATATGGTTATTTCAGTATTGTTTCTTCCCTTAAATAAACCACAACTCCCCGTTTCACCTTTTATTTTGGGAAATTCAATATCATGTAGTTTACTCAGCTATAATCCTCCATATTATGTTTTCCTTCCTTTCAGTCATAATTATATATTTTTTTTTTATTTTAGGAATAACGTATATTAGCTGCAAACAGCTAATAAACGTATTTTAGCTGTTGTAAAGACTTCTTGTAAAGAAGTTGTAAACTGATGGCTGAGATGTTTTACAACTAATTATTTTTAATGGTTAATTGTGGGCATGGAAACGTTTACAAAATAACTCAAATTTCTGTTAGGTTACACATAATTTAAAAGAAAAATCAATTCCCTTCACTTGAAACGCAACAAAAAAGTACAGGAAGAAAATTATTTAAAATAAATATAAAGTTATTAAAACCTGACTCCTCTACATCGCATGCAAGCGCATATTAATTTTATTTAATCTGTAAAGATTATGTTAAAAATAAAATTTATAGCAGAAACATCTTTTAGAAAAATGTAATGATCCAAATCAATATTTGTATCAATCAGGACGAAAATTATTCAAATATCTTCATGCCTTTGTTATTTTCGGTCACTCACACATTTTTATATGAAAAAAAACTTTATGACATAATAACATATCTTTTAAGTAAACAAGGATTTTAGAAAATAGAATGAAACATTAAAGCTCTGAAAGACTTAAATAACTGTTCAAACTTTTTAAATCGATCAGTTCAGCCTGTGCAGCGTTGAGCCGCAGTGATGCGGAGCTCCAGCAGGGGGCAGCACGCTCTTACTTTCTGTTCGGTTTTATTGTTGCTGCAAGTTGAGTCATCCTGTTTAAAATAAATGTTATTCTTCCCATCCGTATGGAAATACCAGGAAAGATAGAATGCTTAGAAAACTCCAGGTTTAATGTATTATTAAACATATCGGTTAGTTTTCTTAGTCTTCTTTAAGGGTCAAGGGAATTTTGTCGGACAATAAAAAAAACAACTCAAGTTGACAATTTCTTGCAGTTTAATTTAAAACAGGCAAAAAATAACACAAAACATATAAATTTATTCTAATTAAGTAAGTCACAGAAAGTCACATAAAATTATCCGATTATGCATCTGCAATTATGAATTGAATATTGAGCATTTCTGTTTTTATGTCACTAAAGTAATTAATATATTATTGATTTGAGGAATGATTTATGAAAACAAAATCAAACTTTTACAGACAAAATGAAGTAGATATTCTTTATCTTTATAGAAAAAGATCAAACTCTGATATTATGTTTTTATTTAAAAACTGGTGACAGAAATGAGGATCCACTTGTTTCCTCTGAAGATCCCAAAGTTCAGATTTAATCTGAATGATCCGCTGAACGTCTGAGGATCAGATTTATTCTCATATTTACGCCTGAGTTCTGGAAGGTTTCCGTCTGTTTTTGTTTTCATCAGGATGTCAGAAAGCTGCTGCTGCCTGACCCAGTTTTCCTGCCAGTCCTTACTGGGTTGTTCCCAGTGCAGCTGTGGGCGGCTCAGGCTGGATCTGGTTCTCTCTTTCAGAACCCAGCAGCGTTTCTCACATGCAGCAAAGTCTTCATCTGGTTCTGCTTGACTGATATAGGTCGGCGTATTATGGCCATTTCAGATAGAGAAAAAAATATTGTAAATTTCTGCCAAAAAAACTCAGAAATTTTCAGACTCAGAAATTAGATATAGCAAAATTTTCACACTCAGAAAATTTCTGATCTTAAAAAATAAAAAAAGTTCTAAATAATTTCTGAGATTAATTTCAAAATTTCTGAATATATATATAAAAATTCTAGGCTTATTTCAAATTCTCAATTTTTCAAGCTAGGAAATTTTTTGTAGAAAATTGCCGAGCCTAATCTCAGACTTTTTAAGTTCAGAAATTTACTTATTTTCTACAGAAAATATCTAATATTTAATTGAAAATTTCCGATTTTATTTCTGGCAAATTTTCATTTTTTTAAGGTTAGAGATGTTCTTGATTTTTGCAACAACAAAAAAAAACTGAAATTAATCTTAAAATTTCAGAACAAGTTTTTTACTATTCAAGTTCAGAGGTTTAGTTGTTTTTTTCTAGAAAATGTGAGATTAATCTCAAAATTTCTGATCTTTTTTTTTTCCAGAAATTTTTCCACGTAAGAAATTTCAGAATTTGACTTTAATCTTAGAGTTGTGACTTTCATCTCAATTCTCATTTTCTTCCCAGTGCCCGCAGCATCAGCACTAGAATCAACAGCAACACTGTAAACAACAGCAGCAGCAGCAGCAGCAGCATCGCAGGAGCTGGCAGCACCATGAAGGGGAAGAAAACCTCCTCCAGGAGGGGAGCAGCCGACAAGCGGAGCAACACCAGCTGAACCAGTCAGGAGGAGGAGGAGGAGCGGATGGATGCCAGCCTGGGATCAGACAGCAACAGCAGCAACAACAACCCTCCTCCGACTGGGACCAGCTCCCAGTTTAATCATTATTATGGGAATGGAAGAGGAGGGCCTTGCTTTGATCAACATGGCGGACAACAAAGCCCAGGGACTGGGGTAACAGCGGCGGCACACACGGTACACGGCACCATGGACCAGGTCCACAACTCCCACGAAGGCTACAGCAACAACAGCCCGTACAACCACTATCCGAACTACCGAGCGGGCTACGGGAGCGGCGGCTACGGGGGCATGATGAGCCCCTCACGGCAGGGGAACAGCCTGATGGGCCCGGCGGCCGCTAACCCGGCCAAAGCGGCTATGGTGGCCGCCAGTTCTCCGGCTGGAGGAGGCGGAGGAGGATTCCAGCGGTTTCCCGGACAGGGTCAGCAGCACCCTTCGGGGGCTACGCCGACTTTGAACCAGTTATTAACGTCTCCGAGCCCGATGATGCGCGGCTACGGAGGCGGATATTCAGATTACAGTAATCCCGCTGTACAGCAGCACCAGTCGGGTGTGGGGCCGGCGGAAGACACGGGCTCTCAGTACGGATCAGCAGCAGCGCATGGTTGGGGAGGACAACAGAGGAGTCACCCGGGTCACAACGGACCGAGCAGCGGAAGATCTCAGGTGATTTAACCGGAATTAACGTCTGTTTTTCCCAGATAAAGACACCCACCACGGTCTGTTCTGTCAGTTAGCCGCTATGCTAACCCCGCTAGCTCTACTGGTATCGGTGACAGACCTGATTTTCACAACACGACACGCGGATTCCTGGTATTTTGGACTAATTACTTAACAAAATACAACACTGCGTGCTTTATTTCTATTGGGAATATCGATTATCACCAAATAGAGGTAAAATATATTGCTAAAATGTTGTATTTTGTGTCCAAGGTGACTCCGTGTTTAGCTCGATATGCTAAGCTAATGTTAGCCTCGTAGGCCCGAACGGATCTTGCGGAAACAACCGTTAACGGTTATATTTCCTCATTTTTAATCAACTTTAAATTAATTTAACTACATTTAGGAACATTAAAAGATGATGACAGGAGTTATAAATGATCTGACAGCTAATTCCTCCCCTGACACCCAGTAACCTCTTATCATATGCTAATTAGCCCGTCTTTTTAGTCAATAAAGCCGACCATCACGTCGTTTTTTTCACCGACACTTCAGTCAGAAAACGGTCCAAATTGTGACTTAAATCCAGTTTTTATTCATCAAAGCTGTCCAGGTTTGAGCCCCTGATCTGTACAGAGATTTATGGGCAAAACGCCCACAGTGTCCAAGTCTCCAAACAGGAGCCCTGACCTTCACACATGCAGATTAGCCATGTGCCCATCAGCACCGGGATAAATACACAGCTGTCCCCGCAGCTACAGCTGCCAGCCAGCCGGAGGCAGCAGTCTCTGACACCGGTCAGCCTGTCACCCGTGTCCGGGACATCAAGCAGGATTTTAATTTTCAACTTTTAATAGCACAAGTCATTGTAATAACCATTTCCTTTAACAAGAATCTCAGCTTAAAAATAGAGGTTAAGTTATATTTAAAGAACTATAAGGGTTTTTCCAAAATAAACATCAATAAACAAATTTTATTTAAGTTGCATATTTTAATGCTAATTTGAGAATTCAGATGTAGGAACGTCTAAAAGTTGCATGAAACCATCAATAATAAGAGAATAATTGAAAATTTGAAGAAAATTTACACACATCTTGAAGAAAAAGCCACCCAGTGTGAGTACTTTGTAGAATCATCAAGTCTCTTCTGGTATCCAGCTGAAATTTTTTATTTTTTCTCAATTGGATTAATGTCTGGACTTTGACCAGGCCTTCTACCCCATGATTCTAGTGTGATCTCAATTGGTTTGTCCTGCTCTAAGGTGAACCCTACAGGTTTTCCTCCAGGTTTGTCCTGGATTTAGCTTCACCCGTCTTCACTTAAACTTTGACCAATTTCCCCTTTCCTGCTGAAAAAATCAGCACAGCATGATACTGCCACTACAATGCTTCACTGTGTGTGGATGATGTGTTCAGGATGATGTTCTTCCAGATGTTTTTTTTTTTTGGAGTTTGCAGCAAACTCCAAAATTGACATGCATGTGTTTTTTAACATGTTGCTACTCTTTCATAAAGTTCAGATTTCTAAAGTTTGCGACTAAAAAGGATGTTTTCTACCTGACAGTGGATCATGCATCATAGTTTGAAGTTTTAGGTAAGGAAATGTTAGGTAATTTGATTAATATAGCACATTTTCAACAACAAGGCAATTCAAGGTGCTTTAGACAATTTAAAGTGCTTTTTTAATGTGGCAAATGTGAAAAAGCGTAGCAGATATGAACATTTTTGCATGTGGTTCTGAAAGCTTTAACTGAACTCCTCAGGTTAGATCAGGAATATAGATTATTTAAACGGTGCATTGGAAAATAACAAACAGAATTGAATTTGTGATATTGGAAGGTATTTTTGTTGGATGTTGATAGAAAACCTTTAGCTGGATCAAAGCACAAAGTTGCACTCTGTTGTTGTTGCTAATTTATTATTTTAAAGCATTTATGTCCACAAATCAAATTAGAAAGCAGCTGAATCGCCTCCTAGCTGACCTGAGATGAGAACTATCGTTTGTTTACATTCTGGTTATTGATCAGCTGTTTTTACGTTCATTCAGAAAGGATTTATCTGTTTCTGTCTCCTTGGTAACGTGTTTACTCACCTGTCAGCCTCGCTGTGAGCATGGACGTTAAAGCTGACCCAGGCGTGGCAGTTGCTCGTTGCCTCCCAGGTTGCTCAGATTGCTCTCCTGCAGTCAGAGTGTGAGGAAGCAGCAGGAGACTTTCTGCTCCACAAACCCTCGTCATCCTGCTGCAGCCAAAACAAAACTCTGCCAGAACCATTTTATCTCTGAGTTTATTGAATGATAACCAGAATTTGTCTGGGAAGATTTTTATACGATTTGAGATCAAAACTGAACCAACATAAAGAAATGATTTGATACCTTCGTTTTATAGTTAAATTTTATATGCCAACTTATTTGGCAGGTAAAATGCTGAAGACATCCAGATTTGCCTAATTAGTTTTATTTTGTTTCGTGTCTTATCTCTTTCTGTTTTTTTATGTTTTTATGTCTTATATTTTATAAAGCACTTTGTGGTTTCTAACCTGTAAAAGATGCTGTATAAATAAAGTTTACTTATTTACTTTTAAGGTGTTTAAATAAGGCAAGAGTATTACCTGACAACGAGGCTGTAAAAGGTTTAATATTTAAAGTTATGTTATTTTTATTTTGTTTATTGCTTGAGGCATAAATAGGATTACAAATGTATGAGATTGTTGACTGTGGCTACATCGATCATGGTAACTGATTTTGCTGGCTGATACATTGTCCCAGAAATTATCGTGATAAATGATAATGTTGCTGTTTTGAGTTTTTCAAGTCATATAATGCAAGTACACATTCTCAAAAATCAATAACTTTAATTTCTTGTAAATATTTAACACTGGAACTGGGCGATATTTTAAATGTCCAAAATAAACAAAAATTTAAAAAAGAACAAATTATGAAATCTCTGTAAACAAGATTGTATTTAAAAAGAAGAGTTAGTTATCTAGTCATGCAGATGGAAATTATTGAGTTTGTTTTAACTCATGATGGGAAAAGATTTATTGCTTATTGCATCGGCAGTTATTGTGAATAAGAACTCATTCTTAATATCTGGTAAAATAAAGGTTGATTGAAGTTGGGCTGTAGAACATCAGAAATATCAGAAAAATATTAAATTGGGATACTTCTGTTAATGATACTGATAGCTAATAATTGATAGTTTATCAGCATCTGTGACAGTGTTTTTCAAAGTGAAGCCCATAATGAAGATCAGAAAGCTGGAGGGAAAAAGAAAAACAATATTTAAAAGATAATTTAAAAAATAAATGTTAATTTTTTTATAAATGTAATATGTTTTTCAGTATTCATCATCATCAGATTTATGTCATAATATAAAATTTCATGATACAATTTCCAAAACAGAACTAATTGCCAATTAAAATCAGAAGGTGTGAGGCAGCTTTTATGCTAAATGAATGTAATAGTTACTGAATAATAAATAATTGATTTTTTTTTTAATATCATTGTTTCTTTATGTATTTTATCTGTGGGTTTTTAAAGCGAATTTAACAAATGTTTGTTAGATTTTTCAGTCTAATTTATAGAAATAGCTTCACTATTTTTCTGTTTGCCGTTGCCTGCAGGTGGCGCCGATGGACCCGATGGCGATGAAGCGCTCTCAGCTCTATGGGATGAGCAACAGCCCGTACTCCCAGCAGCAGGGGGCGCCGTACCCTGGACAACCCTACAGCTCCCCCCACAGATACCCCATGGGAATGTCTGGCAGGGGGCAGATGGTAATGGGAGGGATGCAGTACCCTCAGCAGCAGGTAGGAGCCGCCATTTGGATTATTATACCACAAAACTGGATAAAATGAACTGTTAAACACTCTCAGCTCTATAAATAAATCAATAAATCACATTTTTATGTTAATATTGTTAAAAGCAGCAAATTCATGTTACCGTTAAAGATTCACTACCTAAATATTTTCATATTAGTCATATTAGTGTAGAAAAAAAACATCTACGTCATCTACTTATGTAATTAAACAACAAAAAACAGGAGTAAATAATAAAAATATGGCGAACTCCAAAATATTTTTTATAAATGAAGATCTTCTAAAGTGAAACCTTTTCCTTGAGTTTTCCACCTTTTTATTTGGCCGAGGCTGAAAACTGTGAGAATCTCTGCTAAGGTCAAACAACTTTAGTCGAATTATTTAGAAACAATCAAGAGTGCAACAGAAATGGGCCGAGATGCTAACCCTGAGGAACTCCATATATTATTAAGGGGGAGTTGTAAAACAGAAGCTACAACCTGATGAACCTGAACTGTGTACAGGTGTTAGAAAACCAACATAAACTTAGTTTTTGCTTCTTTTTTTCTGTTTTTTCTTCTGCTTAACTTGAAAAAACAAGTTGTGTCCATCCACATTTACCTTCATCTGGAAACAACACATTCTCTCTCTCTTTAAGAGAAAGTCACCATGTTGTGTCTCTGAGGTGATGATTCACATAAATCTGAGTAACAAATGTAACTGTACAGTAATCTTAGTGAGCTGTGGGTGTTTTGTCGGTCGTCATTCTCCTCCCCGACCCATTTAAACACTCCTAAACCTTGAGGTGAAGCGGCTGCAGTGGAGCGGGTCAGGCCCGGCTGCTCTGGGTCGGCCTATTTCTGGACTCCAGCCGGTTATTTTTAGACTCCAGACTGCTGATTTGGGTCTGAAGCTTCTGCTGCTTTTCAGTCTTCCTGGATGATTTCTGACAAAAACGACGATTCTGAGCCGCGGATGTTCGACTGTCTGAGGATTTGGTTGAAGCTTTGGATGTTTTCTGCTAAAGACTGAAAAGTTTTCATTCCTCAGTTTTCCACTCTTTAGTTTTGCTGCATGTGAAATTTCTCTAACAGCTTGAATAAATAAGTGAAGTCAGAATAGTGAGTGTAATGGGGGATAGAGGATGTTTTTCAGTAAAAACAAACAATTTAAAATTGTTCATAAAAATACATTCTTTATTTTGAACAAATCAATTAAAAACATGTTTTGCAGCATAAGAATCAGTCACTTTAGCTATTGTATTTGTCTGAAAACGAGTGAGAAGACGTTTACACTGATTTCATGAAGTATTTCCTGTAGCAGTCAACGCTACTACAAACCTTTATAAGCCTCTGACTGAAGACTGTTTCCTGGCATGCTAGCATCTTAATCTCCAGGCAGCAGAGACAATAATCCTGGATGATGCTATCACTTCTTGGTTAGCTGTGCTAATCCAGCTCCTTTGCTTTTGCTGCTCCTCTTTAAATCAGTTTGACTGTTTAGTTAGAGATGCTGGAGTAGGGGATACGACCCTTTAGTTCTGTTCTGCATCCACAAATTCTCCTTTTCAGCTTCTGGTTGGTTAGACTGAAATCTCCTGGAAGGTTTTCCTCACATCTCATAAAATAATTATTCTTAAATAAAATAAAATTTTCCAATTTTAAAATGCATTAAAAAATTATAGAAATTGTGCAAAGTATGCACTCTGTGAGTTACATGTCAGATGAAATTTTTTAAACTGGTACATTTATTACATTTAGTTTCTTAAGAAGTAACTTCAAATGTATTAAATACATGAATCAAAAAATATATTTATCCACTTAAACCGATCAATGGTAATAAAACGTTTAATGTCTAAATTATAGTATTTAAAAATTTTAAGCAGAAAATATAAAAAAATCATAATTTAAGAGGAAGTTAAAAAATATTTAAAAATCCTCAACAGGGTTTCCCCCAGTGTATTATAAGCCTGGCGGCCCGCCATGCTTTACTAGCCCCGCTGCCAGGCTAAGCGTTGCTTGTTTACTTTTCTAGGAAAATTAAAAAAAACATATATATATATATATATATGTTTTTTTTTTTTTTTAAAGCTGGGCTGCAAGCGTCTCTTTTGGTCTCAGCATTTCACTAGCAGAGCATATTCTTTCCTAAAGGGTAGGTTTATAATAAATAG